CCAGCCACTCTTCCCCAAGCCTGTAGCGCTGCATGGGGTTGTTGGGGCCGAAATGCAGGACCCGGCACTTGGCCTTGTTGAACCTCATACAGTTGGCCTCGGCCCATCGATCCAGCCTGTCCAGGTCCCTCTGCAGAGCCTTCCTACCCTCGAGCAGATTAACACTCCCGCCCAACTTGGTGTCGTCAATATGCATCAGAGCTTGCTTTTTGTTAGAAGTCCCCAGATTCATCACAAGAAATACTCCACTTGAAGCCTTCTACTTGTGTTTAGATTTAGATTTACCAATTTCCTTATATTTGTTGAAGCCATTCTGTCCATCATTTTAACAGCTCTATAACAGCTACCTGTTTCTCTATTGATCTACAAATGCCACTGGCAGTTTCAGTGCTACGTGTGTACATTTTCTAAGTACTTCTTACATCCGTTCACTAACTTTTATCAAATAAGGCTGCATGCTACAACATGCATTTGCATAGGATATAAATACTTCATCAAATCAGAATAGCCATTTGATATCCAATCAGATTTTACTGAATTATTTGGAAATTATAGTATAGAGGATCCCTGTCATAAGATCACAGTATGGACTATTGAAACACCACAAGTAAGATGCTTTTTAAATAATGGCTTAAAAGAAAGCACTTAAAATTAAATTTACCTGAGAAAGCATTACTGTAATATCTTGAGAGTGTTTGCATAATATCTTTGGAATGCTGAGTCCATGGAGCTATCTTTCTATAGGTTTTTACTCTGTGGACAAGCTGAGAACCTCCGTATTGCAGAGAAAGCGTGTCTCCATGATCTTCGTATAGTTCTTCAAATAATCTGAAGGTAAAGCAAAATGTGTCATCTATCAAACTGCTGAAAAGAGTTTTTTAAGAGAAAAAATAATAAAGTATTGTAATAATAAAGTCTTTCTGTTTGACAAGCAATACATTTTCTTCTCCTAAGTACTTCTGCCAGTTTACAAAAACAAGTATTTCATTAAACATGCTATTAACTTACAAACACTGAAATTTAAAGCTATGTCTCTATTCTTTATTCAGATATAATAATTACTAAGAAGGATGAGACTGTAAGGTTTCCACTAATTTATAATATATCAGAATGCATTCACACTACAGAATATGCACTTCTGTAGATTCGGGGAGAAGATTAACATGTCCTACTAGTCCGCGGGGAGAAAACAAACTGTATACCTTCACAAACTAAGGTATTTTAAATACACTAAAGGGGACAGAACACACCAATATCTCAAGGCTATGTTTTCTGTCAAGTCCATTGGGAATGAAGTTAGCATAATTTTCCAAAAATCTCCCTAGTTACAATAATGATGGCTCAAAGGTACAAACTGAATAAACATGACTTGTAAGAAACGTGAATGGCAGTCAGATACCATTTGCTGGAGCTGGAGAAACATGATGTAAGAAGAAAGTAGAAAGAGTTGGCTGCTAAGATGAACAAGGAGAGCTGGCTAAAAGCAACACAGTCCTCTAGCATCAAGGCAGTTGACAGTAGACTCCAAACTAAGAGCAGTCCAAATAGCGAAAATTATCAAGAAGCACCCCATCAATGACAAAAACAAGACAACAGTCTCAGAAAACAAGGCTATCCTACGGAGATGACACCCAGTCTAAAAGATAACATTGAAAAGTGCTTCTCAGAAACGGAGACTGTGGCCTTGCTTGAGCAAGACAATGACAAGGATGACATCTTGCTAAAAGAGGCTGAGCGTTTAGTTAAGAGGCAAAAAACCAAAACAGAACAAAACAAAAAAGAACCCCAACCACCATGTATTTCACATCAGTATAGCAAGACACAGTAACTCAGGCATCTGCATGTGATAGACTGTAATACCTGAGAAGAAAGAAGTCCTTAAGAAGTGGAAAGGAGGGTAGAAACAAATAAAACAAAACAACAACAAAATAAAAAAACCCAAAACAAAAAAACAAAAGCATTCCCTTAAGGAAGTTTCCAATAAAGGGATAGTACTGCATAAGTAACCCAGCAACCATCTGACTGAAGTCCTCAAACGGTTCTGGATGAAGAACACTTATCTAAGCAGCAATCAATTTCTGTAAAACCAAAATAGCTGTCCAGCAAATCTTTTGCCCAAGGTCAAGTACAAAAAGATCAATTAGGAGGAAATATTGCTTATTAACTTAAAAAAAACCCCAACAACAAAAGAAACAAACCAAAACCCACTTACCTCCACACAAATTGTTCAGAGCTCATGATACCATGTATGAGAATCTCCTGTTTCTTTGGGTTTGGTGGGTTGGTTTGTTTGTTTGTTTTTTTTTTTTGGGGGGGGGAGTGAGGTGGTGTCAATTTTTTATACAAGGGGAAAGACAGCAATGCTGGTCAACTAAAAGCTAAAAAACTGGTTGAAGGCAAAAATTGGCAGGTAAAAGGATGATATCTCTCAAAAATTTCCCAATCAGCCATGGGGGATTGATTGAGTTCCAATGACATTGCAATACAGGTTCACAGAAAGCAGACAATTTAAAATTCATTAAGGACGTTGATCCACTTGATTTGGAAAGGACTTGTAGAATTAAATTACCCTTCCACAGCCTCAGAATATTAAGCCTGCAGTCAAACAAAGACTAGTATTCTGTAGATAGAAAAGGTAACTACATATGATAAAATAAGCTGCTAAGGTACACTTTGTCTAGGAAACTTCCTAGATAGGACAACAATCACACTGAAGGAATCACTAAGAAATATAGCTTGCAGAAACGGTCCTGTGCAACAAAGTCATTAAGAAGATTAATCTTGCTAGACATAAAATTGGACTGTTCAAGATGCATGGTTTCTTTATCCCTCAGGATGGCCAACCAGAATAAAATGCTGACTTCAGAAATCTAGTTCCACAGAAATTCTGGATTGTAGCCAGCCAGTGAGACCATATGAGAAAAATCAGAATTATAAAGACAGTCAAAGAATGTGATGAAAAAAAGTTAGTTTTTCAGACACATTAGCTAAATTAAGGAAGACAGACCACTACAGATCGCCCTCTTTGGCCAGCAAGAAGAGTGTAAATGAAGAGGCAGAGTACGCAGGAAGCAGATACTCGATGTGAGACAATGCAGGGAACAAGAATGCAGGAGGTCAAAGTGAAAGACTGCATAACGGAGAGACAGTATAGCACATGCCTGTCTTCAGAATTTGTTGCATTATGGAGCAGGATTTTTTAATTTTTCTGAATACAGTAATTCAGAACCAAGTCTCAACAGATGACAAAATCAGTTTCAGACAGGCATACATCTAGTGCAATGGAGAAGAAAAAAGTCAAATGTGGCCAGAGAAAAGTAACCTTTTACACCAAGTTAATAGCTACATTTCAGAGAGATAATCATAGAATCATAGAATCATTTAGGTTGGAAAAGACCTTTAAGATCATCAAGTCCAACTGTAAACCTAACACTGCCAAGTCCACCACTAAACCATGTCCCTAAGCACGACATCTACACGTCTTTTAAATACCTCCAGGGATGGGG